TGAAATGAAGATAAATCAATGAATACGTGCAAATTTGAAACATCACTCTTTCAAGCCGGTTTTCTTTTGAATATGTCTAAGCTAGGTATAAAAACATTCAAACTTTCAATCTGGAACTTAGAATTAAGATAAAATCCAAACACGGTTCAAACACAATCATTCAAATGAAAATAAAGCAATGGATAAATACAAATTTGAAACATCACTTTTTGAAACGAAAATCATTGAAACTTTCAATCTGGAACTGAGAATTAAGAATTAGAATTTAGAATTAAGATAAAATCGAAACACCGTTGAAATGCAACCGTTGAAATGCAAACATTGAAATGAAGATAAATATTGATTTGGGTAGCTGCAAATTTGAAACATCACTCTTTCAAGCCGGTTTTCTTTTGAATATGTCTAAGCTAGGTATACAATCATTCAAACTTTCAATCTGGAACTTAGAATTAAGAATTAGAGTTTAGAATTAAAATAAAATCGAAAAACCGTTCAAATCCGACTCACTGAAGTGAGGATAAATGAATGAATCAAATTTGAAACATCACTTTTTCAAGCCGGTTTTCTTTTGAATATGTCTAATCTAAATATAAAATCATTCAAACTTCCAACCTGAAACTTAGAATTAAGATAAAATCGAAAAACAGTTAAAATCCAACCATTGAAAGGAAGATAAAGCAATGAATACGTGCAAATTTGAAACATCACTTTTTGAAACCAAAATCATTTAAACTTTCATTCTGAAACTTACAATTAAGATAAAATCGAAAAGCCCTTGAGGAAGATAAAGGAAGGAACCATTGAAAGGAAGATAAAGCAATGAATACATGCAAATTTGAAACATCACTTTTTCAAACCGGTTTTCTTTTGAATATGTCTAAACTCGGCATAAAATCATTCATTCAATTTGGAATTTTGCAATTTTAGAATTAAGATGAAATCGACAACCCCATTGAAATGAAGATAAATCAATAAATACATACAAATTTGAAACATCACTTTTTCAGACCGGTTTTTTTTGATGCTTTCTAAACTAAAGTATAAAATCTACAAGGTATAAAAAGATTTTCGTAATTTTAAAAGAAAAGACTCGTTTTTTTATGTCTTAGTACAACAAAAATCTAATTGTAAGCTTTACCATTGGAATGCTAATTGCAAGAGACCGAACCCTCATCATTAACTCCTCCAATTGCCACTTTAAGATCATAACTTTGAAATAAAGTTTTCTTTCTTTTCTTTACACGGAAAATAACAAAAGCATTTCGTTTAAATGTCCATAAAGTTAACAAATACGACGAAAAAGAAAAGTTTTCAAATAGAAATTTGTAGAAAGTAGATTTGGATATAAATACCTACACTAGCGAGAATGCATTGACTCTAGGAGTTGCCACTTCGAGATTCTCACTTTGCAAAAGCCTTTGAAACATGATTTCTGACATAAAAATAACAAATTCGTAATAACAGCTTTTTAGGCTCAGATTTTTGGTGTCTCCCCCCTCAAAAAAACAAAAAAAAAACCGAACCAACGAATACGAAAGTAGCCCGTTAATATTTTACCAGCCAAGCAATATCTCTTGGAGATTAGCTCTTTCAAATAATCGCTCGTTTAAAAGTTCAAAATTTTCATTTTATGCTAGCAAAATCTTTCTGGAATCAGTCTGAGAATGCTTTTGAAAAAAGCTTTTCAAAGTTGGTTTCATCGGAAGACCAGCAACGAGGTGGATCGATCGACCGGCCACGTAGCCAGAAGAACAGACGACAAATGGACGATACGGATCACAGAGTGGCTACCATGAGACCAGAAGAAGCCCATCGGAAGACCAGCAACGAGGTGGAGTACAAGGGTGGCAGAGATGGTCAGAGAAAGGAGCACCACCACCAGCACAAGCAAGTCGAAGACTTCGAACCAAGATAGGAAACATTGGATGACAATAGCAAGGGATAGAGTTCGTTGACTTTGGAAAATTTTTGAAGGTTTAAAAAGGGTTGTTTCAAACTAAAGTAAGTGAAAATTGAGTGGTAAATCTTAATTGTTCTGGTCTTGCTTAAAGGTTTAATATCCGTCATTTACGCCGAATTTCTCAATCAATTCAAAACTAAAATTTTTAATGGTAAAAGTTTATGGCTTTTGGCGTAAATGAAGTAAAAACCAATGGATTTTGATTATTCTGAGCTACTCAAGCAAGGAAATTTGCGTCATTTGGATGTCTAGGAAAGTGAAAAGAAAGAAAGAAGAGAAAGAAGAGAAAGAGAAGACAGAAGAGAAAGAAAAGAAAGGAAAGAAAGGAAAGAAAAGAAAGAAGAGAAAGAAGAGAGAGAAGAGAAAGAGAAGAGAAAGAGAAGAAAGAAAAGAAAGAAAGGAAAGAAAGGAAAGAAAGAAGAGAAAGAAGAGAGAGAAGAGAAAGAGAAGAGAAAGAGAAGAAAGGAAAGAAAGAAAGGAAAGAAAGGAAAGAAAGAAGAGAAAGAAGAGAAAGAGAAGAAAGAAAAGAAAGAAAAGAAAGAAAAGAAAGAAAGGAAAGAAAAGAAAGCTTTAAACTGACTCTAAACTTTCAAAAAGCTTTCTTTTTCAACTTGAATCTTATTTTCGAACAATTAATTTAAAAATGAAAGGAAAGAAAAGACTTTTTGAATAGTCTAATAATAAAACAAAAGAGAATACTCTATTCCTTTTTGAATATTAAACCTTTTTCAATATAAACTGTGAAAAACTGTGAAAAATTATGAAATATCTTTTAAAAGCTTTCTTTAATATCTTTTAAACGCTTTCTTTTAAACCTATAATCAAAAGTATCCTCCTTTTTCAGAAGAATTCAACAAATTTTGTTTAAAGTTTCAAGTTTGTCAACTCCAACTTCTCAATACTGACTTTAATGTATGACTGAATTTTTGGTAAAACATTTAAAACTTATTATAACTTTTCAAGATAGTTTATGTTCTGAAAAAGCCTTTCAAGCACTTAATTTTGTCTTTTCCGGAAGTGGGACAAATGCGACCTTTTTTTTTGCGCACCCGGACATTTGCGCACCTTTTTTTTTCCGCACCTTGCCCATTAGCGCACCTTTTTTCGCGTTTTAAGCTCTAAAAGCTCTAAAAAAGCTCTGAAAAGCTAATATTAACCAATTTCTATTCCAAAAGTTGTTTTTCTAGGTAATTTTAGGGCGTAGAATCGAAATTTTGACATATCAGAGCTTGTGGAAGCGAATGAACGGAGTTATACAAAGAGAAAAATCGACAATTTTCTGTAATTTGATCTAGCCGTTTTGTCTTTCAAATTGTCTTTCAAATTGGTTCCACAAGCTCTGATATGCCAAAATTTCGATTCTACGCCCTCAAATTACCTAGAAAAACAACTTTTGGAATAGAAATTGGTTAATATTAGCTTTTCAGAGCTTTTTTAGAGCTTTTAGAGCTTAAAACGCGAAAAAAGGTGCGCTAATGGGCAAGGTGCGGAAAAAAAAGGTGCACAAATGTCCGGGTGCGCAAAAAAAAGCTCGCATTTGTCCCACTCCCGTCTTTTCCTTATTAAAAACTGAAAAAATAAGTAAACTTAGTTATAAAAATGTTTTGAAAGATCCGATTTTTGAAATAAATTTTGAAATTTTTCAGCATTCTCAAGACGTTGCAAATTTTAGCGCAAAAATTTTTGACTCAAATTTTCTTTTCCTTTTTTTTCTTTTTCTTTTTTTTCTTTTTCTCCTTCTTTTTCCAAAATACGATTGTGCTTTTTTTTCTTTTTGTCGGGAATTTTCGATGAGAAGTCCATGATTTCTTTTCTTTGCAAAGTCGAAGACAAAAAGAATCCCGTTCGAAAAGAAAAAGTTTCATTTTTATGTCTTAAGAAACATTTCTTCTGCATTTGATACATTTTTGAAAAGTTCTTTGGGATTCAAATTTTTTGAGGAAAACTGAAGCGAAAACTCGAAGAGAATAGTTAATTGATTAGAAAATCGAAAAGGAAAATGAAAAGGAAAATGAAAAGGAAAAAAGGAAAGTTTCAAAGTCTTCAATTCAATCTCTTCAATTCAATCTCTTCAATTCAATCTCTTCAATCCAAATCTTCAATTCAAATCTTCAAGATCAATCTCTTCAATCTTTAAAATCTTGCAGATTTGTTATACAGACTGCGCCATAATTATTTCAACAAGATATTTCAACAACAAGATATTTCAACAAGATATTCCAACAAGATTTCAACGCGCCAAAAACCCTAAAAGTGTTATATAGAGAATTGAAGCCAGAATTCTTGCCGACATTTCTGTATCATAAAGTCTTCGATTAAAGTTTCACAGCCCACTTTACAGACACTTAAATGAGTCTAATTCGACTTTGACGAGACAGAACGATCCTAGTCTAATTCGACTTCGAATTAGACTAGGATCGTTCTGTCCGACTCCGGGCTACACCCTGTTATCCTGTCAAAAACTCGTTCTATGTTAAAAACCACTAGGATCGTTTTGCATCGTTTGGAAATCTCGTTAAAACAGGGGTAAGAGCTGGACTGGAAAACCCTTTGTAAAGAGGTGTTCATTGTGCGGTCTTTGTGCGAGCGCGTAATCGCCTGCCATGTGGCGCAGGGCTTTTCGGTAAGAGGGGCTCTTTCCTTTCTTCGCAGGCAATCTGTCCGACTCCGGGCTAAACCCTGTTATCCTGTCAAAAACTCGTTCTATGTTAAAAACCGCTTGTAATGCCTCGCTAGATTAATGATTGTGCTATATTCGGAATAAATATCTAAATAAATATCTAATAACCAAAAAGTCACTTTCTCGCTGTTGCTTAGAAATATATCGTTTTAATAGAACTTTAACTCAAAAGAATATCGAAATTGAGTTGACTATAATGCTCAAAAAAGTGACCCCGCTGTTAGCTTAGCTTAAAGTTATAACTTTTCATTTTAACAAAACAGAATTAGATAACTGGTAGAGAAATTGACATGGATTAGCATTCGTCATAGCATTTTATATGCATTCACCCAATAAATGTTTTTTTTCTTAATCACTTACGTTGAGATAATCCCAGGACTCGAGCATGGCGGGGTTTTTCGAAGACTCGTCGTGCTATTATTGCAATTTGTGACATGAATGCGTGGATTGTGCGGGTTTTCGCCTGCAAAATATGAATGAAATTTCGATATGAAATTGAGTATTTGAATCTAAGACGATTCAAAAGCAATATGATAGAATATTGGTTTTTTAGAATTGGTTTTTGAAATACTGTATCCAGATTGGATTGGGTTCTTAATTGGAGATTGGTTCTTAAAGAAATTGGGCTCTTATTCGTTATTCCCAATTATTTGTAGCCAAAATACCAAAAATGGCTCAAGATTGGCGCGAATTAGAGATTTTGCTTGAAGGTACAACAAAAAAACCCCGCCAATCACTTTCCCGACCTTGAAAACCGTTGGGCACAAACTTTTGGCTTCATATCTCATCTGAGAAATGTTTACAGAACAAAAGAAAATCCTTTGTAAAGAGGTGGGTCTTTGTGCGGGCGCGTAATCGCTTGCCGTCTGGCGCAGGGCTTTTTGGTAAGAGGGGCTCTTTCCTTTCTGTCGCAAGCAATCTGTCCGACTCTGGGCTACACCCTGTTATCCTGTCAGAAACTCGTTCTATGTTGTTCTATGTTGTTCTATGTTGTTCTATGTTGTCCTATGTTGTTCTATGTTGTCCTGTTGTTCTATGTTGTTCTATGTTGTTCTAAACCACTAGGATCGTTTTGCATTGTTTGGAAATCTCCTTAAAGCAGGGGTAAGAGCTAAACTGGATAAGAGAATTTGAGAGCAGACTGCATTGCGATACAGTACATTTTATCTTCCTTGTGGCGTACTTTGGGCTCAAAAATGTAAACACACAGTTGCGCTCAATGCTTCAATTTCGTAGAAACCATGGTGTTACAGAAAACGAAGCCTTCAGCGCACCAGAAAGAGTACCTTTACATTCTTGAACACAAAGTACACCTGTAAACATTATTTTCTTTTTCTTTCAATCTACCTGACATCCACGGTGGGGACACGGCATCGGATGAGAAGAGCCGCATGCGGTGAGCTCCATTCAACCCTAATATCCAATCAACAATCAAGGCACTAATCAATACAAAAAATGACTCTAGATTAATTGAATCTTCGTTTTCTCTATCAATAAACGTTCGACTAATTCTCAAACAACTAAATCAAGACAAATCAATTTGAAAAGTTCATCAGCGTCAAGCCGAAAAGGTTATTCTTGATTGACGCAATCGGTGAATTGAAATTTTAAACAAAAACTTCATTTAAACAATAAAATAACGATCATACGCTCTAAATTCTACTCTATTTCGTGCATACCGTATTTACTCGAATAGAAGATCTTCTATTTTTAGAAGGTCTTCTATTCTTTCAATCACTCCCTAGACCCCGTCTTTTATTCGAGACGGTCTTATAATCGAGGCCGGTCTTCTATTCGAGTAAATACGGTAATTCAATTCCCAAAAACTCACAAGATTTCCTCGATATGCTCATCGCCGACGACGAGGATGGCACCGAGATCTTGATTGTCGGCACTGAGGTCGGCACTTCTGGAATATTAAAAAAGGATTTCCTGGATTTCTTGGATTTCAAGCCTAATGTTGAGATCTGATTTAGTTACCCAAATTTGAGATACCGATTGGAATCGGGTAAAACTCGTTTGCATTTATTAAAAAACCCAATAATGTGATACAAACAAAGGATACATAATAAGACATAAAGGTCTAAACACACAATTTTATGGCGCTGCGGCCGTTACTCCTATTATCCCTATTACCCAAATGTTGTGAAAGAAAAAACCCACTTGGTGGGAAAAAGAAACATTTTTGTCTTGCCAGCGTGATTGAACCGTCGACTTTCCGCTTAAGAGATAAGACTCCTAACCGGTGGGCCATCTGGCCCTTTGATTAGTTGAGTCATACTTTTTAAACTACTTTTAAACAACCCTAAACTACGACTTCGAAAAAAATCATTCTCTACTGCTGATAATTCACATAAAAACGCTTGTCAATGAATCAAAGTTGAACAAAGGGAAAAAACTTTTTAAATAGCATTGAACAAGTTTTATAGGCTAAACATCTAAACAAATAGCTGTTCGCTATTTGTTTAGATGTTTAGAATTGGCTTAGTTACCCAAGCTGAAAAACAAATCAATTGAGGACGAGAGTGCTGATTCGATTTTTAAACATATTGTTGAACCAAGGCTTTATTAAAATTATGAATTAATGAATTTATGAATGAAATGCATAAAATGAAGCAAGCTTTTTGAAAAAGCTGTTTTTAGGGTCATTGAAAAATTGAGAAATAGGAGTAGTTTGTTAGGTAGTTAGTTAAATAGTTTACTAAATAGTTCATTAAATAGTTCATTAAATAGCTTCTTAAATAGTTTATTTAATAGTTTATTAAATAGTTTATTAAATAGTTTATCAAATGGTTTGTTAAATAGCTTCTGAAATAGTTTATTAAATAGTTTATTAAATAGTTTATTTAATAGTTTATTTAATAGTTTATTTAATAGTTTATTAAATAGCTTCTTAAATAGTTTATTAAATAGTTTATTAAATAGTTAAATAATTAAATAGTTTTTTATAAACATTAGTAAAACAAAAACAAAAAAGTGGTCTAATTCAGCAATTTACAATCCAAATTTGGCATTTAACATTAAAAATGATGGCTAAAGGCCAAAAATTAGCATGTTTCAAGCAAAAGCAACCCTCCAAAAGAAATGTTCAGATAAATTTTTGATCCAAAAATTGCTATGAAACGATTTTTCATTGCAAAAACTGAAATGAGCCGAGAAGTTGCTTCTTTTTTTCTCTCCGACGAATCACTTTGTCTAATTGCTTAACGGCGGACCATCAGTTTTTCTTTTTCCTTTTTTTCTTTGATTCTTTCTTTCCCCTTCTTTCTCTTTCCCGTTTTGCCTTTTTTTTGAAACATCTCTTATTTCAGCCCAAGTCGATTACGCGAGTAATGTTATTTATAGAGGGATTAGCTATTCTTTCTTTTTGTTTTCTTTTCTGAACATGATCAAAACAAGGATGAATAATGAAAGGATGAATAAAAGCTATACAATTGCATTATCTATATGCATTACATATCTACTGTTGTTTCAATTTTCGAACTTTGAACGGAAAATCGAAAATGAAGGGATTTTAAAGTCAATTTTAAAGTCGTTAAAGTTGAGAAAACTTTGCCAATTTTTTTGCCAAGTCTTTGTCATAAGCTAAATGAATATTTAGCTTATAGAATTCTAAAATCAATCAAATTGAATTCTAATCAAAAAAAACAAACTATAAGAATTGCAAAAAATTTCGATTTTTCGCTACGAGCTAATGGGCTTACTAGAATCAAAATTTAAATTTCAAATGCTTAAAATTGAAACCCTGTTTAGCATGCCGTTTTTAAAACCACATCTAGCATTGGAATTTTGAGTAAAAGTAGGTTCTAGAAGCTTTCAGAAAGCTGAAAAACATTTAAATTAAACAGAATTTAAAATTGTCGTTTATTGATCGACTGAAAAGGCGTTAGATATTGTCAAAAATTGAAACATAACTTCTCGTCATACCCAAATTGTTCTTGTTCGGTCGACGAATCGACTTTTTAATCGTTTGAAGCATTTCGTTTTGTGAAGTGAATATGAATTTAGTCTTCAAAAAGCTTTCCAAAGCTTTCCAAAGCTTCAAAGCTTCAAAGCTTTCCAAAGCTTCAAAGCTTCAAAGCTTTTCAAAGCTTCAAAGCTTTCCAAAGCTTTCCAAAGCTTTCCAAAGCTTTCCAAAGCTTTCCAAAGCTTTCCAAAGCTTCAAAGCTTCAAAGTTTCAAAGCTTTCCAAAGCTTTCCAAAGCTTTCCAAAGCTTCAAAGCTTCAAAGCTTTCCAGAATCCCGAAATAAGTGAAGTTTTCAGAAATTTGTAGCTTTTGAGATCGAAAAAAGACTAGAAAAGTGGGTTTCTAACTTAGTTAGCGGGTATTCAAACCGGGATTTCCGGGGGTTTTTTTGGGGGTTTTTGCGCTTCTCTTGGATCACAATCAGTGCAACAAAAGCTTAGCATTCTATTGTCATTCTATTGCCAAACTACTGTCAATAGCATTCTAAAAAACAGATCACTAGCATTGAAAAACCGACCAAAAAACAGGCCTATCGCATTTGAAATGGAGAGAACTCAATTGCGTTTTGCATTTTAACACCAAAATTTAGTTACAGTGGGAAGAAATATGTGCAAGTTTTGAATGAGAACTTGAAATGAATGGAAATGGATGAAAATGGATGGAAATTAGTGAAAATCAATGAACATCGATGAAAATCGATGAAAATGGATGAAAATGAATGAAAATCGATGGAAATGGATGAAAATGGATGAAAATGAATGAAAATGAATGAAAATGAATGAAAATCGATGAAAATCGATGAAAATCGATGAAAATCGATGAAAATTAATGCAAATAAATGAAAATGAAATGTTGTTACTACAATTATTTGACACTATTCGATGCAAATTCTCTCAGAAAGCGCTTTGATTGACGATATCATTCTACGAAAGACTTGACTAACATTGAAACATTAAGTTTTAAACTTAAGAAGATTTTTGTTTTGGATGATGGGTTTATTTGAAAAACTTCTTCTGTTAAGAAAACTTTCTTCTTTAAAAGAAAGAATAACTTTATCAATCGATTTTTTACAAAAATCGAATATATTGTTACCCAATCGTACTGTTAAATAAGCCACTGACATTGAGCACGCCGATTGACGATATCATTCTAAGAAATATTTACCTAACATTGAAACATCAAGTTTTAAACTTGAGAAAATTCTGTTAGCTTGAGTAAAAAGGATTGTCAAAAGGAAAAGCCAGGAATTTAGATGCTCTGAAATCAATAAATTGCAAAAAAAACTTTAAGATAAAAGAAAAAAATGAAAAACTAAAGTTTCAAAGTAGTGCGTATCGCAAAAAGGAAAAACTAGAACTAAAAAACACCCTGAGCTTCGCCTAAATTCCTCGAAATCTCGAGAACCGCTTATCAGAACCTATCGATGTGGGGCCGGAAAATGTAGCTGACGATGAGATCTAGTCAGGGATTAGAGTGTTGAGCTTTTGCAAAAGCTTGGAAACCGTAAAATAGTCACCAACTCGCTTGGTGCTTGGTGCACTACTATTAGAGAAAATACGGTATTTGAAGAAAAATCTTAGCTTTCAACGTATAGATACTTTATTCAGGACCTGAAAGCTATTATTGTTCTTTATATATATGTTACGTCCGAATCCGATCCGGACCGTCGATTAGAGGAATATCCCTTCAGTAATTATGTTTAATAAATTTGCTTAATTAGCATTAAAAGTTGGTTAATTGGCATTTATCGGATTGTGGTCGGATTAGGAGGCCCGAAACCGACTACAAGATAATCAACGGCCGGATTCGGACGTCCGGATCGGATCCTGACGTTCGGATCGGATTCGGACGTTCGGATCCGACCACAAGATAATCAACGGCCGGATTCGGACGTCCGGATCGGATCCTGACGTCCGGATCGGATTCGGGCGTCCGGATCAGATCCGGACGTCAGGATCCGATCCGGACGTGACATATATATACCGTATTCGCTCTAATAGTAGTGCACCTTGAGCTTCGCCTAAATTCCTCGAAATCTCGGGAACCGCTTATCAGAACCTATCGATGTGGGGTCGGAAAATGTAGCTGACGATGAGATCTTGCTGGGGATTTGAGTGTTGAGCTTCTGCAAAAGCTTGGAAACCGTAAAATAGTCACCAACTCGGCTCACCGGTGGGCACTACTATTAGAGAAAATACGGTAATCTATTTTGAACATTTCCTAAAATCTTTTAATACCCATTTTTTCTGTCCACTTTTTTTCTCCATTTTCCTCATTTCTTTCCTCCATCTTCATTTCATTTCTTTTCTTTTTTCTTGTTCATTTTTGACTCACCTGTATATTTGGCATTCATGTGTCGACGGGGTCGGCGAAATTTTTTCCAACAGCGCACGGCGACGAAAACAAAAAATGAGGTGGCCAAGAGGGCACACAATGCGAGACTCCCACCCAATAGAATTGACCGCCCCTCCATGCCCTGAAAAAATCGCTTATATTTTATAGTTCTTTGAAAATCGGATTCAAATCAGATCCATAAAGCCAAGAAAGTCTTTTCGTTCCTTTTCGTCCTTTCGTTTACAGAGTGACGAGAAATAACGCTTCCTAATCGTCCTAATAGTCCGTTCTAGGCTTAGATTTCTATTATTTGTAGAGCAAAAAGATTAATTTCTTTTTTTTGAAATGAAAACTCAGATCATTTTCTATATATGTTAAAGATTTCATGACTCTAGCATTGATAGAGAATTTTTTTATGGACGCTTAAATAGCTTAATGGCTAGTCAAAAACGAAAGAACTCAAGGTAAAAGGGCTCATTTGCATACTTAAACGTAAAACTTAAACGTAAACCTAAGCTTTTCTCAGGGCTAAGTCACTTTATTTTATAAAGATTATATTTCTATATATTGGGTTGGGGAGAATGAGTCGGCGCCAAACTTTAGAGGGACTTTTTGCACACATAAAGCCTTCTTTAAACATACGTTTGGTTTCATCAAAAGGATCCACTATTTCTCTACAAAATCACTTTTGAGAGATTCCACAAAGCTTTTCTTTCGTCGAGTTTATGAACTTCCAAACGCAGCTGGTTAAAATGGCAAAGAGTCCGACTCATCATTTGAACAGTTTCTTTCACATAAACCTTCTTTGGTGTTTATATAAAAAAGATAGAGCACATTCAATTACTTAAGTTGCCAAATTTGCAGGAAGATCCCACCAATGGTTTTTTCTAGATCACAGTTTGTAGTTTTTGTGAAAAAATGGCTTTTTCTTGAGCGGAAGCGCTGTTTGAATTTTCTTTTAAATGTCATTTTGTAGAGAATTAGTTAACCATTCTACTCATATCAAACGCATATTATTTGACGAAGTCGAATAGAAGTTTCAGACATTTTTTTGATTTTCGGCGCCGACTCATTCTCCCCAACCCAATATATTTCTATTTTTGTATCTCACGTGTTGCCCACTGGATGGTTATCGGTTGGTTGCTTGTCCACCAACGGCATCAGGCATTCCTCGAGATAAAAGAAGTGATTGGTTGATGGGAAAGGAAGAAATTGACTGAAATTGACTGAAATTAACTGAAATTGACTGAAATTGACTGAAATTCACTGAAATTCACTGAAATTCACTGAAATTCACTGAAATTAAGCAGATTTAGTCTCAATTTGGACTGAAAAATGAAGTCCGGAGAGAAAGGCAAGCAAATTTTATGCTTCAATTTCATTTATTCAAAAGAAATGCCAATTTTTATTCTGTTTTCAGCGTTTTTTTTGATCAGAGAATAAAGGAATCTTTGAAAAACAATCAAAAAATGAAAAGGAAGGACGAAAAAATGTAGAGTGATGTCACGATGTCAGTAGAAAGTTTTAATTTTTGAGTATTTTAGAGAGTTGTTCCTCGCGAGTAAGTAATTACTTGAGTAAAGTCTCCTGAGTCACTTTTTACTTGATTAATCGACTTTTTTTTGGCGAGTAACTACGAGCAATCCTCTTTTACACGTCGAGTAAATTGAATATGTTTACATTTGAAGGGAATTTGCTGTATCAGTGTTGAGCCGAATCAGTTGGACGGCTGAATATCTTCAGAAAGAGTCGTATAAAACATGGAGTGATTTTTTCGCGTCATCTTTTGCAATGTTTTTTTGTCAAAAGTACGGTCTTTTTTCCCAAGTGTGCTTTTTAAAAAAAAGCATTACTCGCAAGGAACAAACTCTAGAAAAATCAGTTGCCTGACTGTGAAAAAAGAAGCGTTCAGGGACAAATGGGAAATTTTTAAATGAACGGATTCGGCTGAACTTGGTTAGGATTTGAAGAGTCAAATTTAAGGAACAAAGCCAAGAAAAGTCAAATTTAAGGAACCAAGGCCAAGAACAGTCAAATTTAAGCAACAAAGCCAACAGTCAAATTTAAGGAACAAAGCCAAGAAAAGTCAAATTTAAGGAACAAAGCCAAACACAGTCAAACTTAAGGAAGAAAGCCAGGAAGAGCCAAACTTAAGGAACAAAGCCAAGAACAGTCAAATGCTCAAAGTAAAGAATGCTCAAAGTAAAGAATGCTCAAAGTAAAGAATGCTCAAAGTAAAGAATGCTCAAAGTAAAGAATGCTCAAAGTAAAGAAAAGCCAAATTTAACGTGCAAAGCCGCTACGCCTAGTCCCCCACAGTCACAGATGCCGAAAGAGAAGCCCCTTATGCTAGGGAAGCTTGCCAGATGGTAAGCAATTACGCTGGCGCACAAAGAACACTTCGCCAGTCATTTTCATAGGGATTTCTCTCTTGCTTTGTAGATAACATTCAGAAGTGCAATGTCAAATACAATAACGATCAAATATTGTGCACAAGTTTCAATTCAAAAATTCAGAAAAATTGTGAAAGTCATGTAAAGACAGTGAATTTTCGGCTGGCTTGTAAAGGAGTTGATATTATCGAATTTTTATCAGCCAAAACAGGGAAATGCCAATTTTTATTCAATTGAATGGAAAAAAAATCCGGAATTTAACGTTTATTGAGTTTTAGTCATTGGATTGAACGTAGATTTTGGTTAGAAAAAGAGCTTGATCAGGTTCAAGCTAGTTAAAAGCTAGTTATAGCTAGTTATAGCTAGTTATAGCTAGTTATAGCTAGTCAAACAAGCTCTTAACATTGAAGTTTCAGCTTTGAATCCGAAAGAAATCAAAACTTTGAAGAAAGCTAAATAAAGCCAGCACAAAATCCCCTCACCGATCAATAACAAAATTTTTTTCCGTAAAATTTTTCCTTTTTTTCTTTATCTTTTCATTGAATATCGCAAAATTCCCCATTTTTTTTTGCCTAACTCGTGACGATCTTCTCGATAATTCGCGGAGAGCTTCCAAGTTGGGGAAAAGAAAGAAAAGAGAAGAAAAAAAGGGGGAAAAAGAGAGGGACACAAGAAATCCCCTTCAATAACACTGAAAGGGATTAGTCGAGAAAAGGGAGAATCTGAAAAGGAGAAATTCTCAGCTCTCATTTAGAGCAAAACTTTCGCTTTTGGTTAATTTTTAACTGGCACAGAAAGCTGGAAAAGAAAGCCGGAAAAGAAAGCTAGCAAAGAAAGCTGGGACAGAAAGCTGGCAAAGAACTGGCAAGGAAAGCTAGCAAAGAAAGCTAGCAAAGAAAGCTAGCAAAGAAAGCTAGCAAAGAAAGCTAGCAAAGAAAGCTGGCAAAGAAAGCTGGGACAGGAAGCTGGCAAGGAAAGCTGGAAAAGAAAGCTGGCAAGGAAAGCTAGCAAAGAAAGCTGGCAAAGAACTGACAAAGAAAGCTGGAAAAGAAAGCTGGCAAGGAAAGCTGGCAAAGGAAGCTGGCAAGGAAAGCTGACAAAGAAAGCTGGCAAAGAAAGCTGGCACAGAAAACTGGCAAGGAAAGCTTTCTGTCCCGTCTTTAAACAATTCTTTAAACAAATTTAAGAAAAACTAAACCAAAAAAAACTCCGTTCAGTTTAAAACATCCGGTTTAACAACAACAACAAAAATTTTCGTTTTGTTTCGGACATCCTATTCGCATTTTTTTCTATATTAAAGTTCTTACGTTTAGTTTTAAATAAAATTCCAACTTTGAGCCTAAAGAAGCTTTTGTTGGTTAGTATTGACGAGATTACGAGTATTGAATAATATTATCGAATCAAGTCCACTCAAATGAAAAAAATAATGGAATTTTAACCTGATATTGATATGACTTTGATACGAAAAAACCAAGAGATTCAAGAAATCCAAGGGAAACAAGAGATCCAAGAGATTCAAGAGATTCAAGGGAAACAAGAGATCCAAGAGATCCAAGAGATCCAAAAGATTCAAGAAATCCAAGGGAAATAAGAGATCCAAGAGATCCAAGCGATCCAAGCGATCCAAGAAATCCAAGAGCTCCAAGAGATCCAAGGGAACCAAGAGATCCAAGAAATCCAAGGGAAACAAGAGATTCAAGAGATCCAAGGGAACCAAGAGATTCAAGAGATTCAAGAAATCCAAGGGAAACAAGAGATCCAAGAGATCCAAGCGATCCAAGCGATCCAAGAAATCCAAGAGCTCCAAGAGATCCAAGGGAACCAAGAGATCCAAGAAATCCAAGAGATCAAAGAGATCCAAGAGATCCAAGGGAACCAAGAGATTCAAGAAATCCAAGAGATCAAAGAGATCCAAGAGATCCAAGGGAACCAAGAGATCCAAGAAATCCAAGAGATCAAAGAGATCCAAGAGATCCAAGGGAACCAAGAGATTCAAGAAATCCAAGAGATCCAAGAAAAAATTTCAAATCTGCTTCGGAAAGGAGTAACTGCAAGTCGAAATAACATTGTAATCCAGTGAAAAGAAATCAGTTTCAGATTTGATGACAACTCTTAAAGATATTTCAGTTTAATGTTGCGCATCCTTGTGTAGCAAATACTTTTGAGCAAATTCGCATGCTGAGAGTCTTGTATCTTACAAGAGATGATCAGCTCGATAGGCTGGCACAGAAAGCTGGCAAGGAACGCTGACACAGAAAGCTGGCAAAGAAAGCTGGCAAAGAAAGCTAGCACAGAAAACACAGAATTACACAGAATGACACAGAAAACCTGCTACCAAGTGATTTCAATTGAAAAACGAAATTTCAAAGTTGACGGTGCTAAACAAATCAACTCGATAGGCTGGCCAAATGACATGAGCCATCGACCATTTGACGCAGAATTTCATGCTGATCGCACGATGCTGTGTTCGCACAGAATTTCATACAGAAAATACCCAATCGTACAGAGTCTGGCACACCACAAATCCAGATAAGAAGCCCAGACCGTTCGTATCATTTTTTTTAACTTAACAGTGAGGAAATGAACAAATTAGAAAAAATATAACAAGATTGGGGAAGAAAAAGGTATTTAGTCGAGCGAAATTAGTACTTTTGCGTAATCGTTTCACGTTTTCTTACTTTCGAACTAGTTTTGGATGTGAATTTATCTGAAATGTAGATGAAAGCTTCAACATAGATGATCAGCTTCAACATAGACGATCAGCTTCAACCTAGACGATCAGCTTCAACATAGACGATCAGCTTCAACCTAGACGATCAGCTTCGACCTAGACGATCAGCTTCAACATAGACGATCAGCTTCAACCTAGACGATCCGCTTCAACATAGACGATCAGCTTCAACTTAGACGATCAGCTTCAATTTAGACGATCAGCTTCAACATAGACGATCAGCTTCAACTTAGACGATCAGCTTCAACTTAGACGATCAGCTTCAATTTAGACGATCAGCTTCAACATAGAAGCTCTTGATAAAGCTTTAGTTGAAGTTTATAAAGAAATAAAGGAAAGAAAAGAAAAGATCCCTTAATTTTAGTCTTATATTAAGATATTTTGATAGATCTAGATAATATTTAATAAAATTAATCAAAGACAAAATTCAAAAATGTACCCAAAAGAAAGTAAGACATAAAAAGGAAAGAAAAGAGAAAGAAAAGAGAAAGAGAAAGAGAAAGAGAAAGAGAAAGAAAAGCAAAGAAAAGCAAAGAAAAGAGAAAGAGAAAGAAAAGCGAAAGAGAAAGAAAAGAGAAAGAAAGGAGAAAGAAAAGCGAAAGAAAAGAGACGAGAGTAATCGAAAATGAAAGAGAAACATGAATCTTTTATTAATACATAATCTCGGAAAGATTCTTTTTTGTGTGTGAATGTGTTTAGAAGAAGAATAATAAAAAGGGGTAATGAAAAAAAAAGAGATCAGAAAGGGGAAAATGAGGGGAAATCTTTTCGATGAGATTATCTTCATTTTTATTTAGTCAAATGGGGATTCTTTAAGCCCCGGAAATCGGAAATGTTATTCACTTTTATCACCTAAAAAGATAGCTGGTCAGATTCTAGGGATAAACTATGATTTGATTGAAAAACTATGATTGAAAATAGGTACTGAAAGGTGCTGAGCTCCTAAGCAGTGAATTTATCTCTGCTTAGGAGATAAATTCACTGCTTAGAAGCTCTCCTAAGCAGAGATAAATTCACTGAGCTCATTACCTTTCAGT